TCACTGCTCTCCTTGTGCGTGACTGCGAGCTCATTACATGACCAGGGCACCCCTGCGATGGTCACAACCTGGCACCAGTGCCCAATTTCTCCCCTAAAATCACTGGACTAGAGGTAGCAGTGGAGAAGATACCTGCCTTTGCTTCTCCGGATCCCATTGCCCTCAGGGCTGAGCTGCCGAGTTTGTTAATCGTTCCTAAGCTCCTCTAAGAACATATTTAATTATTTACTCAAGTGGACAATATTATGTTAAGTGCTTTATAGTTTTCTTGAAAGGCTCAGTTTATTTATAAACTATTGACAGAGTCAATAAGTTTATAATGGGCCACATGTAAAAATCAATTTCTCTGGAAGAAAAAAAAGTCATCACAGCAACAAACTGTGGCCTTTTGAGTGGGTAAGTGGACGTGGGAGATCCACCCAAGGCACTGTAATTCAGCCATTCATGTAGTTAAATAGCAACTGTGATCTCAATCTCAAAAATTTAGGGCAACTGTCCACATATAATCTTTGCTTTTACAAAGTAGATGCATCACAAAAGCACCAGTGTGTGCCATATGCTAGTAAAGATGGGTCTTTTACCTCCTCATGCAAGAAAAGCTATTAAATTTTGGAGGCTCTTCTTCAAATGAGAGCACTTCAGGAAAATACACTGCCCACATGCTTAGTAAAAGCAATTTACTTGAACTTCTCTGCAGGGAGCCTGAGGTTTGAAGAGCTACAAATCCTCAAAGAGCAAAGAGGTCAAGTGCTAATGCTGCGACCTGAAAAGTACAGCTCTTGGAAAGCAAGGGGTAGAAAGTCTGAAAGACAAATAGGACAAGACACCACGAGGGCAGAGGAAAAGAGAGAGGTCTGATCTCACAGCAGAGGGCCTGGGCTGTATCCGAGGGAATGATTTACTCAACAACTGGAAATCAACAGGATGGACTCTGAGCAACACATAAAGAAGACCCCAGACAGGTAGCACAGACAGCAAAACGCAGGGAGGTGCAGTTATTGCTTCGTCTAAATCCTCCTTTCCTCGTGCTAACTAGAACGAGGAGAAATTGCTTTGGCATCCTCGCAAAAACCTGATTTGTTTGCCCTGCTACCACATGCCACCGAAAATATCAACCATAAATCCAGGGAGGGATCGGGGCTGTACACAAAGGTTTGCTTCAGCTACTGGGAATCAGGAAGGCTGGCTGGGCTGCAAGGTAGAATTTGTCAAAGTATGAGAAGAGAAGGTAATTTCACAAAGCAGGACTGAAAACCTAAGCTCCACGGTCCCAGCCAAAAGCCATGGTCCACTTTCCCTCTGCTTTACACCATTTCCTACTTCCAAAGGATGTTCTTGTAATGATAACGTGTGATGTTGTCTGGGTGATATGGACCGTGGCTTCCCCTCCAGTCCTGATGGGGTGTCCAGGGCGACAGCTCAGCTTTGAAAACCCCATCTTAGATGCAGACGAGCCCTCTTTATAAATCACAAACAAAGAAGAAAAGAACAGGCAACAAACACACAAACCAAAGCAAAACTGATTTATCTGGTCTCTGGAAATGGAATACGGCAGCTGTTTTATCAGCACCACCACCTCCGCACAATATTGTTGGGGAACAAAACTGCATCAAACGAACAGAGCATCTGACTCAAGGCACTAGTAAAACTCCTTTACACCTTCCTTCTTACAGTAATAATTCTAATTGTTTCAATTATTTCCATCTAATCTCCTTGATAAATGTTTTGAAATTTAAACCCAGCCTGAGGTCCGTATGTTATGTTTAAAAGAAAAAAAAAAGAGGGGGAAAAAAAATACAACACCAACAACAAGCTACACAGAATGAACAAGCTAAAAGAATTAATTGTAGTTCAGGATTCTGGAGGCATCCAGCACCCCTCCTACCCTGTGTAATGCTGATTTCAAGGATTCCCAGCACTAAGAGGAACAGTTTTTTCAATGAGCAACAGCCTGCTCGCCATGCTCTATTTATGCATGATTATTACTATTATTACGGAGCACAGCATCGTCCCTTACACCGTCATAAGCTGTGTGGATACACAGAAACCCTGTGCCCTGCTGTGGAGCTTGAAGGGATGACGAGCAGCACTGAGCTCACCTCCGCACCGCACAAACCAAGGCACTGGAGCACTGGCCACTGGGGCAGCATTGGCCATTTATCACCAGGAAATGTCACCCCTTCTAGGAGGGTAAGCCCCTGAGCAAGGCAGTTGTCACTGTGTGGAGGGGCTGTGAAGAAACCTGGGGTAAAACCGAGGTTTTCTGCAAGAGGACTGAGGACAGAGGGGTGCTCGGTTGCCACACGTACCCCGTGCGCAGGTGACGGACGTGGGGAAGTAAAACGCCACAGACCTGCTCTGTTCTGCGAGTTTCATTAGGACTCCTGGAAAATTTGTTGAGCTGCTGCTGCTGACAAAAAGGGTCCCTTGAGCGGGCTGAAGGAGGCTGATAATGAATTCGCACGCAGTAAATTAGCCTGTGGATATTTTTACATCAGGCTGCTCGCCTCGGCTCCGATGGAAATGCATTGGGGGCTGAGGACTTCCTCCTCATTTGCTCCCGCAATCTCCTGCCAAAGGCTGGCATCAGCTTTTCATACACGGCCCTGCCTCCCCGCCAATGCTATCTGCAGCCATCAGGCTGGCTACGGCGGAGCCCTCGCCCCCAGATCGCTCTCCCATGGACCCACACCAGGGGAGACGCAGCAACTTGCCTCCATCTACCGCTCCGCAGAGAGAGGAGCTGCGACACACAGCAAGCTGTCAGCTGGGATGTGCTTATTAAATAAAATTAATGCTAGAAGACAGAAACAGAATTCCCCCCTAGTGCTGCAGGGCAGGTGTTTAATTCAGCATTTTATCCCCTTTTCGCTTCTTTTTTTTTTTTTCCTTGAAATATTTTTCCATCTCCAAGCAGCTTAATGCTATACAGACTGTCTATTCCCCTTCTGATGGGTTTTCCCTCCATTTAAAGCCATCTTTTTGCTTGTTCCCCTTGACAGCAGTTCACTATGATTTTATCTTTTCTATTAGGCAATGACTGCAAAACCTCAGAGGGTTCATTAGTAGCTTGATAATCCCTCCAGATTTATTAGTCTAAATTGCTCACTCCCATCTCCCATCCCCATTTAAATATTACTAATTTCCTTAAACATCTCCTCCATCTGCCCAGGTTTTGCCTGATGTCACCTTTCTTTAATGGTCCCTGCCAAAAACCCAGTTAGTTCTGCTGAGGGCTGGTCTTTTGGACAAAGTGGTAAAATAACCTGGGTAAACAGACTAATATCCTGTGAGAGTGAATGGCAACAGAACTCATTTCGCTCTCACCTGCCATAACTGCATTACACTGGATGAATGGGTTCCAAAGGCAAATTGCACATTTTGACCCCAAGCAAACGCTTAATCACACCCAGTGTGTGGTGGTGAGCTTAATTTTTATAGTTATTTCTATAACTACATAGTTATTTCTATGTCCAAGCACCATTCATGAATAGACCTGGTCCATTGGGGTACACAGCGACTGCTGGGACTGAGGAGGAGAAGCAGAGCAAGAAACAGTTTTGGGACCAGAGGACAATGTAAAAACTGCTTGGTGGGACTGGGAAATGGCTGAGCGGTTCAGCGTTGTGAGCAGGGTGTGATGGGGGCGGCCACTGACCCTCACCAGCTCTACCAGCAGCACCAGCACAGCTATGCTCTGACTTGGGGCTGGCACTGGGGGTGAAAAATCACAAAGCAGCAGCCACCGCCTTAAAACACGGGACCTTCACCTCCCAAAGGTGCCCATCGCTGGCTGATCCCCCCCAGGTACACCCCTTCCTTTTGATCTCCTGCCCAGTGCTGGCCATGAGCATGGGGATAAACAGCAGCAGTGAAGCTTGTTCTTGCTGGGCTGATATTGAACAAGGTTAAGACCTATGGATCGAGTGCTAAGCAGGAACCAGAATGCTATTAGTTCAGGTAGGAAGCTAGTGGAATTTTATCTTTTTTTTTCATTATTCTCTTTTCTGACATCTCCTTTCCCCATCCCCTTGCCATTCTCTGTCCCAATTGCTCTCTTGGCTTTCAACCCCTCCATTTCACTCCTTCCCCCTCCTCCTCTCCACTCCAGCTCTCCTGCCTACACGTTTGGCTCCATCCTTTCCCGTCTGTCTCCCACCCAAACACAAAGAGTGATTCAGCTCTCGGCTTTCCTGGCACACACACACCCTGGCATAAATATTAATAGAAATTAGAGAATATGAATATCATTTGGAGTTGGAAGGCACCTCCACTTAATCATCCAGCCCATCCTGCCGCACTCAGGTTTCCGTCATCCCCACACCGGCATTAATAGGTAGGTATCTGGTCTCCCTGGCGCTATCATCTCCCCCACGCCACTTGGCAGCCAGTTCAAGAACCTCATAGCTGCTGCGGCACGAGAAGTTTCTCTGGTGTTTATTTTGGGTTTCCCCCTGCTGCTGCCTAAGCCCATTACTCCTTGTTTAGCACAGTACTCGGGGATTTAGCTGCATGATCCCCCCATTAATGTTATTAGTAGCTATAAAGCCAAATCATCAGGGGCCACGCTGAAGATATACCCGCTCTGCCTCTCAACATTTATGGTATCATCCTTCCTTTGTCTCATACAGCCGCTCTCAAAGATGCAGCAGAAAAGCACAGGGCCAGGGTGCCTTCAAACGCATGCCCCAGTGCACTGCCCTTGTCCCAGCATGGGGAATGCCCTCAGCCACCCATCTCCTGGTGCTTCCCAAGGACCCACACATCTCATCGCATCGGCTCCAACTGCAATGTCCACAAATCCTACAAATCCAGGGCAAGATTCGCCCTGCCCGATGCTGAGGTTTGCAGGGGGACACCCCACTTTGCCTCCCTCTGCCACAAAACCCCGGCTCCGCAAGCACATGGCTCTTGCCAACGCTCCCACGGGCCGGGGAGATCAGCTCCCATTAACATGACTCTACACGCACACGGGAGAAAAGCCGAGAAAAATGTCTTACCAGATTAGTGAAGATATACGTGTAATAGGCAGACGCCATTCCCAGTTCAGCTGCCTGTGAAGGAGAAGAAAGGAGATTAGACCAGAGCCTGACAATCTTCAATCTCCACTCCAGCAAGGCAGACACTGGGCCACATTTGCTTTTTCATCCTTATCACTCCCTGCAAGCGCTGCTGTCTTCCTGCAGGCGGGGAAGGGTGGGACACAGCAACACAATTTGACCTGTGAAATTAAAGTCTGGGAAACCAATTTTTCAGCCGGACTGAGGCTACC